GTGAATAACTACCATTCATTTAACCATTTCAACATGTCATCATTAATCCTCACAATCCTAAGAAATAGGTGTTATTAATTTCATTTTACAGATGGAACAAAAAACCTGAAACAAAAAGGTAAAGTAATTAGCCCAAAATCACACAACTGAAAAGCAAAAGAACTACTATTCAAAGCCAGGTTTGCTCAAATGAAAGTTTATACCATAAACAAATAAAACCACCACTAACCATAGAGATTTCTAGGAAGCATATTTCTCAGCTCCCAATATTTAAAGCTATTGATAGCTTTAACCCTATGAGAGTAACATCAATTTCAACTATTAAGTTACATGATGTTCTCCTTAGGACACATTACTATATATGTCATTCATTAATTCTGTTGCTAATACTAGGCTATCAAATACTGGGGTGTCATCTTGCTGGACTTTTTCTCCTGAGTCCGATTACTCAAAATGACAATACTGAGAGTTAACATTAGCTGGGTGTAGTGCGTGTAATCCCAGCAGTTGGGAAATGGAAGCAGGAAGATCACAAGTCTGAGGACTGGACTATAGAACAAGTTCCAGGCTAGCCTGGACTTCACAGTAATACCCTGTGTCAAAAAAAAAAGCAAGTTAATATTTACTATTACACTTCTGAGAAAATCAAGCTGCATAAATTCCCCTGTAGGCTTTTGTTACACATGAAACTGTGCTATAAATCTGTTTTGGAGTTTTTATAGTTTTGCATTCTTATTACTGGTCTTATCTTTTGAGTTCTATAGCTGCCTCCTCTATACACATAAACCATTTCCTTTTTACTACAAACATATTATTTTATGGTGCTAAAGCTGGGCTTTGCCAAAAACTGCCAGATGGTAGTAAAGTATCAATAGCTCACAGTCCAGAATAACTTTATAGGTAAATCATTAAAAAAAAAAAGACCTGGTCATTTTAACAGGAGTCCTAAGTTCTACAACTACACTTATAGACATTCCCTTGCAACCAATTTAGAAGACAGTGTGCATGGTGGCTAGGAACACAGGCCTTCAGAGTCAGACTTCTGTGCAAATCCAAGCCCTGACACGTAATAGCAGCATTACCCTGGGCGAGGCATATGACTCCTCTGAATCTGACTCATCATCTGTAAAATGGGGATGATATCTACCTGTTAATTATGTTGTGCATATTAAAAATTGATATAGGGCTAGGGGTGCGGCTCAGTGTCAGAGTGCTTGCCTGGCATGCAATAGGTCCTGGGTTTGATCCTCAGCACTGAAAAAAAGAGGAATTAATACAGCTAAAGGTCTTAGGATGAGGCTAACATAAAATCGAGCATTCTGCCAATGATAATAATTTTCTTACTGATCACAGGCTCCTTCATAAGAATCAATATTTTCCTTATAACTCATAATACTAATTCTACTTCCTTGGGTAGTAACTGTAAGTCAGGCATGACACAAATAACTTTGCATAGTTCATCTTACTTCTCACTCCTTCCTATGTACTGAATATTACCATTTATAGATGAGGAAGCACTCAGAAAGGTCCACCTAATTGCCAATACAGCATATTAGGTATGTCATAGAAGCAGGATTTGCACCCAGGGACAAGCCTACACTCTAACTACTATGTTGCTCATTACCACATATGTAGGTTGGAATCAGGATCTCAAGGTTAATGTGTGTGATTTATAAAGATGTCCAATTTCTAGACCAGATATGAATAGCCTATTAAATGCAGCTTCAGGTGAGAAAGATGCTATAATCACACAATCTCCAAGATCACTCCTAGGTCCATTGCCTTAAGTGTTTCTTAGCACCAGGATCTCTTATTTGTACTGAGAACTATAGTTTCCACTCCTGTTTGACTACCAACATCTTCTAGTGACTTCTAAGTATTGATCCTTATTTTCAGCCCAGCTCATAACACAGTTTGAGTTTCAGCCTGAACCTCTCCTCTGTGGATTTTGGTTTCTAACCCTCTCCAGCTCTACTCTGTTTTCTACTGAGCACCACACCACCTCCACTGCCTACCTGCCAATAAAGAATTCCTTTTAAAGAGAAATAGAATTTCCCTAACAGAGGAAAATCACCACTAGGAGTAACATAACCAAAAGGAAGCCACATAAAATGCCTCGAAGAGGAGCTGATAATCCCCTCTCCAGAGGTGATTCTGATATTAAAATGTATATAAAGAAAAGGAACACAAACCAAATACTATACATAATACAGTAAAGGCCCTGCTTTTCCACAAGAAATATTGGTCAAGAATATAATTCACTGAACACATTTACATTTAATACATTTTTGAGTAACTACTACTTATAAGACACTAAACCTGCAGAAATGAAGACGACAAAGTCAAGTCCTCACCTAAAATTACTCACTGTCTTCTAGAGAGACAGACATGAAACATATAAAGTAACAACTCACAATTATTAATTGGTGCTGGCTACTAATTGTAAGGTGTAGACAAAGTGCTAAGTAGGCATAGGAAAGTTTGCTTCTTACTTTGCCCAGAGAAGCTTGCTAGATGAAGAAGCAGGAATGAGCATTCTGGGCAGAAGGCACAGTCAAATCCTAAGTGCTATGAAAAGGTGGAGTGTATTTAAGAAACTATGAAAAGGTCAGTATAACTGGTACATAGATAACAATAACAACAATATTACTGATGATGATAACAAACAGTAGTAACACAGGTACTGTTTTTATCCTCATGCTAAATGAACCTTCATGTTCATCTCACCTAGTCTCAGAGTTTTCAGACACCATTTCTATGCCAATGAATCCCAAAGTGACACAAGAAGCCCAACTCCTTCCTTGGGTTTCAGATTCAGTTATCCAACTGACTCCTCTTTATTTCTTCTTGATTGTCTAAAAGGTATCTCAAATGTAAAATATCCCTAATAAATTCTTGATCACATACACACCCTTACACTTCCTTTCACCTTCCACATCTGAATATCTAAATACATCATACTACCATCTACGATTGTTGACTCCAACAGTTGACATCATCTTTAAATGGATCTATCTTCCCCACATCCCATCTGTCTGCAATCTCCACTAATATTCCATGACATGGAGAATAAAAATCTAAACTACTGTTATCACCTACCATCCTAACCCATTGTTACTCACTGCACTACAACCACCTCAGCCTTCTGCTCTGACCCCACTCCCTCCAAACCATTCCAAGCTCAGTGACTTTGCATTAATGTTCCCTTTACCTGGAATGTTTTTCTCCAAACTGATGCAAGACTTTCTCCTGCTCATTATTCAGGTCCCAGCTCCTCAGGTGTCACCTCCTCAGAAGCTCATAATGATTGCCATAGCTCAGAAACTCACTCTCTTCCTTCATCATTCTCTTTGTGTGTCATAATCTGGTTTTATTTTTTTATAATTAATGCCCTTTTGAAATAATCTCTTTTATTTATCTCATTATCTGCTTCATTCAGCTAGAAAAGGCATCTCTTGAGAGCTTGCTTGCCACTGGATCCTTATCCATTAGGATGACATCAGGCTCACAGATATTTTTGATTGGCTGATTGACTAAACAAAGGAAGGAATCAGTGATGACCTTGCAGCCACTTACCTACTATCTAGATGACTCTTAAGCAAGCTACCTAACTTCTGTCAGCCCCAAATTTCTCCTGGGAGAATAAAAACTTCACACAGAACTGTTTTGATGGCAAGTGGAAAAAAATGATAGCTAATTAACAATGATAACAATAATAGCTAACAATGACCTCTCTACCCTAGCCATAATGCTTTGCAATCACATTTTGAGATGATTATTTCTATTTTATAAATTAAAAAAAAACTAAGGCATGCAGAGGTTTCCTAATTCCTAGTCCCAGAGGTAGTAAATGGCAGAGGCAGGGTTCACACTCAGAGTGACAGAATCAGAATCCATGTTCCTAACTATGATTCCATATTCAGCACATAATAAGCAGTTTAAAAAAAAAGTTATTAATTTGGTTGTAGATCAGGGGTTAGAAAACATTTTCTGTAAAGAGCCAGATGGTAAATATTTTAAGTTTTTCAGGCCAAATGATCTCTGTTTAAGCCACCCAACTCTACCATCATAGTATCAAAGAGGTCACAGATATGTAAATGATTAAATGTACTCTGGTAATTTTCATTGACAAAAAGGCCAAATTTAGCCTGTGGGTCACAGCTTGTGAACCTCTGTTGCAGATCAGCAAGAATAATGATAAGAAATGTTCACTCTATGTTCCATGAAAAGGTTCATTACTAAAGAGTAAAATAGTGTAACCCCATATTTGTTTTTTAAAAAAACATACAATAAACTGAGTGTGGTGATACACACAATTTTTAGCATTCAAGAAGCTGAGACAGAAGAATCTTGAGTTCAAGGCCAGCCAGGGCTACACAGTGAGACCCAGTTTCAAAAAACAAAAGCAAAAACCAAGGCAAGCAAAAGACAAGACAACACACACAAAAAAAGCAACACAAAACTAAACAGTAGTTACCATTAAATGGTGAGATTACTAGTGATGACTATCTTTTTCTTTTAGGTTATCTAAATTTTCTATGTCCATATATGAATGCTTAGCTTCTAAGACACTAGAGTTTTCCAAAAACCGAGTCTTAACTCCAAAGTTAAAAAGGTGACAATATCACTAACACCAAAGGTGGTGAGAATCTCCTCTTTAGAGGGTTTATCTGGGTGATTTTGTTCCAAAACTCCCCAAAGATGGTAGATTTCAAATGCAATGTGTGCAGGTCAGCTCTGCTCTCTATGGCACATTTTAAATTCTATTTAAGTCACCTTCACCTCTGAGGATCCCAGCCTGAAAGAAAAAGGATTTGTTCTGGGTGCTTTGTGCCAAAGCAACATAGTTTCTAACCTCCTGCTCACATCAGATAGAAATGTTCAGATAATCCCAAATTTCATGCATGATCTGGCTGGTTCTTCCTGTCCTTGGTATGTTCTTATTCCCAGTCTCCTGGAAAGCCCATGCTGTCTACACACAGAGGTAGAAACTGCCTCACAGATAAACAGCTCCTGCTTCTCTGGGGTAATTTCAGCCATACTGGATACAACATGTCTAAAAGTCCAACTTCAGCGGTTAACCAAACCTATCTTTGGAGAAGGTAATCTTTCTGACTCATTTGATCAAAGCAGCTTAATTGTTCTCTAAAAACACTTTCAACTTAAGACTCTATCGAGGTGTAAGGTAGTGTTAGATAATTTGCCATTTGCTCCTGGGGAAGCTCAGGTTCTTCTGTTGAGACAGAGGAGAGCAGAAGGGCACTAGTTGTCTGAGGGAGTGAGAAAGTGGGGATTCCAGGTAAAAGAAAGACAAAATTGATAAAATGGCCCTCCAGCAGAAATACCCTTTGCCCATAAAACAGAGTCAGCCCTGCAGCCACGCAGGGCTGCACAGAGCTTCCAATTCGTCTCTTGGGAATTCAGAAACATCAGCCCATCAAGTTGGTTTCTCACTTTCGAGAAATATATAGGAATCTACTAAGACATTTACCATTATAGCTATGAAAATAATGAAATCTAAGGTTTTCCATCAACTAGCAATACTTTGTCTCAATTTCCTCTGTTCTATTCACAATACCATTCTGCTTTACTGGGCAGTTTCCTTCTTCCTACATTTGGACCTACTTGGCACCCCAAACCTAGTTAGAATTTAGTAACTATTTGTTGAAAATAATAGTGTTTTGCACTGCTCTTTCATTCTATAACTACTGAGAAGTAATATATGGTGGTACAATACAAGCACCTTTCCTTGTACATCTCCTCTTCTACTCAATAATTCTGCTTCACTTCCCTTAAATACTTTCTAGATTAATCCCATCTGGGAAGGTCTCTTCAGTCATTGCTTTTCTGATCCTGAGTCTTCAACATTTTCCTGAACACTGGGCACCACCATAGGGATTCTATAGAGCTTGTGGATAGCACATGTTTTTGTCTTCCCTGCATCCCCACTAACCTCTTTAGAAATAGTTACCTTGAGAATTTAAATCTTAAGCAGAGAGAGATGGGACCAGAAAATGTTAAAAGTTTGTTCAATAGCAGCTTCCTGAGTAAGTTTTTCTTCCTTATAGATCTCAGAAACTGCCCAGAGGCACCTGTCCTCGAACAGTTACTAGTTCTAAGAGCTACCCCTATGGACTTCCACAAAGAACTGGAGCTGCAGTCTGCCAGTTTAAAGTAAAAACTAATGCCATGACAAGGTCTGACAGGCAAAGCCATTTAATTCAAGATGGTATTCTCAATTCACATACTCTTTAATACAAAAGTGCTAAGAAGGAAAAATGTGTTATTTAGGGCTCTTCTTTGTCATCTTCTTCATATTTCAGGATTCACAAGTATTTTCATTCTTTTTTTTTTATAATCCTCTTTCAAAAGGTTGAATTAAAGAAAATCATTTTAACTGTCAAAGCCAATAAACAAAAAGAGGAACTATTCAAACATTTGTCCATTGGTTTCTTCATATGAATTTTGCAAAGGAAAGTCTCAACAAAATATGTATTCACAACTCACTGAGGGCACAGACTCTCAACCCAACTAACTTAGGGTTTCTGATCTTAAGCTTTTTTTTTTAAAATACAAGCTGGCTGAATTTTTATGAGGCAGGAATAAAGTACTGAAGAGAAACATCTTCATGAACCAAAACAAGATGAAGAAGAGTATTGCTCAAAATATTGCATAAGGCTGTTGTGGGGTTTATGTGCTGTCCCTCCAAAAACTGCAGAAGCTTCCTGTTATCTACCTGCACTTGGACCATGCTCTCTGGGTCTCTGTCTTGAGGTGTACCAACAGCAGACTTTGGAGGATTTCCAAGATTTTTAAAATAACTTTTAATAGACACTACATCCGTTTCAATACTCAAGTTCATTCTGCCATTTGGACTAGCTTCCACCAGCATGTGGTCACCCATGTTTGCCATCCTCTCCACAATGCTCTTCAGGGTCCTCACAGGCGGCAGGTGCACGCTGGCATCTGCAGCTTCAACACTGGGCTCTGGGCACTCTTTCCACCATCTTCTGGGGCGCACCCTCACAGGCAGGTCGTGGACCATCACGCGTGGGTGGCCAGTCTGCGACGCCAGCTCCACGGCCACCGTGAGGCAGGGGCGACGCTTGTTGGTCAGCTGGAGCTTCAGGGAGGAAGCCTTCCCTGCACTTCTCATGGCTCTGAACAAATGCTCGGCCGTCAGCTCTAAATGGATTTCATTGAGTTCCTCTGAGACGCCTTCCATGCGAAATTGGTGGAAGATGGCTCCTCGCCTCACCTCGCACCACAGCCTGGCCTCATGGACAGCCCCGGGGCCCGCGAGGCTGAAGCACAGCTTGTCTTGGCACACGCGGAGCACACAGACCTTTGCCAGCTTCGCCACCGTGGCGCTGACCTGGATGAAGAGCTCTAGCGAGCGCTTGCTGGTGATCTTGGCCTTAAACTTCATGGTGCTGCCACGACAGCACTGTCTGACGAGCGCCTCCAAGTGCTACACGTTCTTCCGGTCCCCGCAGTGCAGCCGCCTCACTCTCCCTCCGGCCCTCAGCACCGCCCGCACTCGGTTCCACATGCCCCACTTCCGCAGGCCCATTTCCGCCTGGGGCCACCAAAGGGCGGCCTCCTCGCCCCCTTCTTCCTGTCCCTACAAAAGGCTTTACCCTTTCCCCTCTAGTTATAAAAAAGCTAGCATTCTGCTGCAGAAACTTCTGAATATTCTACACAGTATGAATATAACTAAAACCATTGCTCAGATAACTAGCGCATTTTTCGTTTTCAATCCGGATATATATATACATATATATATGCAGATATAGTTACAAAAATTGTGGCATACTCGGCATACGCTTTTCAAGCTGGTTTTTAGACGTAAAATGTATAACGGGCATCACAAACAAATCTTCCATTTTCATGGCTGCTCTGTTTTTCCACTGTATAAATACAATCATTTACTTATTTCCATAAATTGACATTTAGATAATTTCCACTTTTGTCCTATTATAAACACAACAATGAACGTTTTTGTACAAAAACTTTTATCCTTTTACTCAACTATTACCTGTCATTAAATCCCAAGAGAAACTGTTGGTCAAAGGATGTACGTATAAAATCTTAAATATTACCAAACTGGCCTGCTGAAAGTTCTATCAACACACCCTCCTATCAGCTACATTGGGTATTAGCAATGTATTTTACAAATCACATTGCAGCAATGTGATAGTTGAAATCAATTGGTTTCTACTTGGATTGTGAATGTGTGAATTATGCCTTCATAGTGTTTGCATCTTTCTATGAGTTAATGTTTCTTGATTTTTAACATCTCTGGTAAGAATATTAACTCTGTTCCTGTAAATATTGTGCCCAGTTTATGGTTTGGCTTCTCACATTGTTTATGGTGCTTTTTACCTTTAGGGAATATTGAATCTTTAGATGTCAAACCTATCGGTTCTTTCTTTGCTACTTCTACAAGACCTGCTCCATGTGAAATATAGGGCCATAGTTTGAGCTTCCCAAATTCAGTAGCCCACCACAGAATGTTTGCTCAACTCCACTGTTTTGAGTTATATGCCAGATCTTTGCATCTGAAACACAGGTGTCTGTGGGTGAAGGTGAGAAACCTTCCAGTGGCCCCCTGCCAGACCTGCCAGAAGACAGGTTGGGATCACATCTGGCAAATTCTGCTGGTCTCGATCAGAGCTGCCCAGATTGAGAAAGGGATAAAGCTTGAAGCAGTTGACTTTGACTGTGGTTTCACCACTGCTGGTGGTGCTGTGCAAGGAGAGGGAGGTCACGAGGCCTCGCCAGGAAGAGAGGTCTTCCTCTCCAGGTAAGATAGGGAACTAGTAGGCACTGTAAATACTCTGCTAGCATTCTAGGGAAGGTTTCTTAGAACAAAGAGTCCAAGGAAATGGAGAAAAATAACTTTGGGTGCATAACAATTCACCAAAACTTTTCTTCATTTTCAGACCTTGATTTTTATTTTTAAATGTGACATTATATTTGATTAGAAACAGTGACATATCAACAGGAACGTGACGTGAAACAACTGGCCCTCTTCATTATAATATCATTTCTAGTTTTGCTGTCCTCGTGCTAAGAAAATGTTTTAAAAGGTTCAAGGAAAGTAAATCATTAAAATCTAAGGGAGAGGATTCACAGCCCTACCACTTAAAGGAGGTGGCTGTTAGGCATAGGTGCTCAATGTTTGATGGATAGTGGGGGACATTTTAAAAGGTGACAGCTATGGGACTTTTCAGAGGAGGGGCATCACTTAAGCATTGCCTCTATTTTTTGTTTGTAATGTCTACTACTTTTTCCACGTAAGCACTCAAAGACAATGTAAGAATATGGACCATTGTATTTTCTTTTCATGAAGAATGTACTCCTGGGCTATCAAAAAGGCTTCAAATGAAACTAAAGAATTTGGTTTGGGGGCTAAAAAAAAAGCACTGTAACAATAATAATAAGCTATATATAATCAGATATTATCCATAAATCGTGGAGATTTGTGGAAAACACACCCATAGCAATCTCTGAAAATATGATAAAGAAGAACTGTATAAGGATCATGTAAGTCTAACAGCTCTTCTAAAAAAGCCGAAGGTCTTCTTCAGCTGTGGAAGGAAATGAATAGACTGTTTTTGTTTGTTTGTTTTTGACTACTGGGATTTGAACTCAGGGCCACATGCTTGCTAGGCAGGTACTCTAGCACTTGAGCCACACATGCAGCCCTAAAGTAGATTTTTTGCATTTATAAAATGAAATACAATAAAAAAGCACAAATACAATTGTAGTTTGACCTTGTTACCTACTGCTCAAATGACAATTACACATGATACAAAATCAAGCAATAACAACAAAGCAACATTAGTGTGTCTAGTATGTGCCAATCATGATCTAGGAGGACAATGTTGAGTTGGCCACTGTTTGAGGTAGAATTTCATGTGATACATTGTAGGATTGAGGGAATGTGACAATTCTTTTAGTCTTATGTTCCTTTTTGCCACTTCTGGCAAAACCCAAGCCATGGGAACTACTGCATTATGTTGGTTGCTTCTGATTGTAGCCTAGAATCTCATTATTTCTTTGGTGTGACCATCACTCTTTAGTGTATGGCACTGCTTAGTGTTTGATCAGTTCCATTCAACCTCTAAACATCTATTGTCAGGTACTTTACAAAACAAGAGAAATGCCAAAATCACTTCCTCAATATGCTGCTGACTGTGCTGTAGCACAGCTGCCCTAGAGCACCTTCATACTTCTACTCATACCTCCTGGAAAATAACTTGAAAGGTGTAAAAATTACAGCCACATTGCCCTTCACAGGGAAGTCTGGGCCAGCTTGCTGATAGGCACTGAAGCCACACTGATGAGGGGTCTCCCAATGGCACATCACAAAGGTGCCACCATGGGCAAGTTCTTGGTAATATTTGCAATATGCCCATCATTAGAAAAATCAACTCAACAACACACAAAAAACTATACTGCCATTTTAGATCTTTAGAAGGAAGTAAACTTGTGTAACCATGCTCATAATATGCCTCTTCCTTGGAGGAAAAGATATTCAACTTCAAAAGAAGATCTTTGTTTAGTCATGTGTTTTTAAAGTATTATGAAAAAAAACAGAAAGATGAGAATGGAGCAGGAAAGGAGGTGTTCCTTTGCTGTTTTAGGATGGTTTGTGCTTAATTATACTAAGTAAAAATGTTTTAAGTAAAATCTTACATTCTTGTACTATGTTCAATAATTTTAGAAATAAGACAATCCTGACAGTTTTATAAAACATAGGATATTAGAAGGTATAAAATTTAACATGGAAGTAAAATGTATTATTATAGGCAGGTAGTAATAACAGATATGCTGACTTATTGATTCTTTTAACAACCAAGCTATAAAATGAAAATCCTGTATTTTTAAGTCACTACCCATACCATTGATTTTTGCCACCAATGAAGCAAATTTAAAGAGAGAGTTATCTAATTATGATAGCATTTCATTCAAGACAAAGTTTAAGTGAATGCCGAAAAGGTGAAACCATAACAGTGAACAGTGACACTTTCAGAAGCAGAAACTTCATGTTGGAAACTTAGCTCTTACCTTCAAAGAACTGCTGTAGAGCCTCATTTTCACCTACAACATCCATGGTGCTCTGTCCTAGTAGTATTTGCTCTTAATGAGGATTATCCGACCTCAGGAAGTAAGTACTATCCTCTGGACACAAAACCTATGAATGCTCTTGAAAAATCCTCATTTTCTTTTTATTGGAGTGGAACATATCTTCAGCCATCAACTTGTGCCCAGTAAGATGTTTAAGTTCTCAAATGTGATTATAAAACCAGAAGAATATGCAACCTATAGAAAAAAATTCACGAAGAGAGAAGTTGTAGCAAATCCATCTATCTTAATGCAGGGAACTGTTTCTCTTTTGCCTTTTGTCTTTGTTTTAAGGACCTTTGTCCTTAGTGACACATGTAATTACATAAATGGGCAATAAATGCTTGGTCTTATCTCTTATTTGTCCTTTTACACCAATATATTTCTATCTCCACCTTTATCAACCAGATCCATTTAGCCACCATCAAGAAAAAATACAGTTATTTTCTTTAATCTAGAAAAAGGACAAATCAATATAATCACTTTTATAGTAGAATATCAGGTACTTTTAAAAGCCTGTGATAATGAAAAGTTAGGATTTGTCCAATATTTCCAAACTTACAGTGAAAGGTTACATTCCTCAATACATTCTTACTTTACTTTCTCCAGAGTTTACTTTCTTTAAAAGTATTAACCAAGTATGAAAAGTGTCTCCTACAAACAACAAAGACTGCATTATCAATTTAACAACTCTTACAACTGAATATGTGATTGACTGCTAGTTGTTTTCACTCCAAAATATAAAACTAAACCCAAATAAATGTGTTGCTTCCACTGCTTAACTATAATTTATTTAATAATGGTCTAAGAAGACTACAATTAGGAAATTAAACTATCTTTGTAACCCCTTACTTTTCTCCTGTTTTCCAACTTTTTATTTTGAAAAAAATTTTGAACCTCCAGAAAAATCAGAATAGTTCTATGAAATACTCATATATTCTTCTTTTAGATTTAGTAATTATTAACACTCTAAGTACATAAACTTTTCTTTGTCTGAGCCACTTGAAAATAAGTTGCTGGCCTCTTGAGTATGACCCCTTATAAGAAGGCTACTCTCCCAGATGACAAAATCATTATGATACCAAAGAAATATGACATTAATTTAATATTACCATCTCACATATAATTTCTACCATTCCCAAGTATATCTTTTATGATTTTTTGTTTTTCTGATCAAGGATATAATGAATGTTCATAAGCTGCTTTTGGATATAGTGTTTCAAAATGTAGGACAGTACCCTTGTCACTTTTAGTTGGTGGGCTGTTCATGATTTTGACCTTTTTTTTTTTAATCCA